GGTGGTCAGTGCACTCCCACAGCTGGAGTGCTGCTCAGCTGACTTCCCCGTCCCGGCGGCCCACCAGCCTGGCAGCAGCCACTCACTCCCTCAGTAGTCCTGCAGGTCCAATCTCTGGAGAACGGGCCAGGCACCGATGGACCGGCGCCGCTAGCACGGTCCCGACAGTGCCGCCAGCCTCCGGGAAGTCAGCCTCGGGCACCATGGCCACTTCCCCTCCCTAGATGCTCCACAAGGAAGAAACGATATAAAAGTGGCTGCCAGGTGGCTCCTGATAACCAGCATGAACATCAGCAGGACGGGTCTGGATTCTGGGCCGGCAAGGGCATCCCACCGCCTCTGGGCTGATCACGTCCCAGCCCCACCCAGCCCCCTCGGGACAGATGCCAGATGCAGGGCTCATGGTTGGCAAGAGCTGCTGCAGTGGTGTGAGCCTCTCCTGATCAGGACTGACTAGGTGTGAGTCCGCAGCAGGTGCAGCGGGGGCCGGGATGAGCGGGAGCGGCAGGCAGCATTGGACTTCGGGTTTCGGTCCGATCCCTGCAGGCCACCACGAGGGACCCCACCTGCGCACAAATTCATGCACTGGGCCTCTAGTATAATATATAAAAACACTGATATAGACCTATTATTCTAAATCTTAAAAAATAGCAGAAGAAAGAATCTATTCTTTATATTTTTAAAGATTGATAACAAAGAGCATAAACTACAGGCAGACCCATAGCTTGAAATAAAATGTTCTTAGTAAATAATTTTTTATTAAGACCATATTGTGACTCTCTAAATTGTCCCAATCTTTGGTGCTTACTTTGCATTCCCCAGTATATTTCCATCTACAGGACACTTCTCTATAGGCTAACAACACACTTTGTAATGGACAAATACTCAAATATTGTTGGAAAACCCCAGAATGTGTGTCATGAGCAATTTACTACCCCAATTTATTAGAAATCTGGAAAAGTATTTTATTCAACCACAGGTAAACTTATTTCAGACATTCAGATTTCAATTTCTTTAGATGTACTTTACCATCAATTGAGCTGTGTGTGTATGCGCCCGTGCATGCGCATGTGTGCATGCGCATGTGTGTAGGCAGTACTTCCTACTTGTACAATTTTTAAAAATTAACTGCAGTGTTTTATGTACTAGTAACACACTAATACCTAAATATCTATCAGTTTGGGGGCTGATTAAATAAACTAATTATAGCAGACCAACATGTTGAGCTATTAGTTAATTTTTTAAAAGAATGAGGCAGCCCTATATGCACAGATATAGAAATGGAAAAGGCAAGGTGCAGAACAGTGGGTATAATATGCTAGCATTTGTATGTGACTGAAAACATTGGTTGACCCCACGCAACATATAAGGGGCAGGGGATTGGGATCAGACGAAGACTGACTTTTTGAACACCTCTTTGAATGAGTTAATTTTTTTCAACCAGGTTCATAAAAGATTTTTTTCTATTATAGTGATTATAAAGTTAAGGTTGATACTTTATAATTAGTTTTTATAATTTTTAATGAAAATTAAATGGTTAAAGAAACCTTGAAACTACTCTAATTTACCTAATATGTGGTTTCTTTACTGCATTTGCCTCTGTTTTCTATGTGAGCTTTTATATATTGGGGATAAATGACTCATGGGAAGTTTTGGGTTACCACTGCTGGTAGAAGCATTGATACCATTTTCCTTGATCTGCCCTTTAGACAAGTAACACAACAGAGGTTATTCCAAGTAATTTGCTTTTTGGATATATTTTACATCTGCAAGCTTTAAAATGGTAGGTCCAAACTTCCTGCAAGAACAGACTGCATATTTACTTGAAGCTAACCTGGGGCTACTTAAGTTCATGTTCACTTTGGCTAAGCCAGGGTATGAGGGCAGGGTGTCTAGCAAAAAGACTTCCATTCCTGCCAATCCAACAGGAGCTTCTTTTTACTTTAAAGTTAACTATTCTGTGTATAAAGCAGTATCTAGACATTTGATCTTAAATGGGAACGTTATCTGAAAATGGTACCATCTTTTAGAAAACTTTAAAATTGACATCTTATTTTTAGCCTTTGTGGGATGGGGAGAATGACTACAACAAAAGCTGATTAGTTCTGTTGCTACAGTATATTAATTCACATCTGGTTATCTCTACTGGGCAGAATTTTAGTTTTCTGAAGTAAAGGAAATTAGCAGAAGATAATATCTTCTCAAATATAAAATCACACTTAAACATTCTAAATGAAATGGCAAGTGAGTCAAATATCCCAGAGCAGGTATAGGAGAAGCCACCTGCAGGTTATATAATGATAGAATGCATTCTAAAATCAAACCAACCTCGGTTCAACTCCAGCTCTGCTATCCGCAAGTGGTGACTTTGAGCAAGTTTCCTATCTATAAATGGGAATGCTGTCACTTCTTGTAGGACTGTTGAGAGGATTTAATGAGATAAAGCAAGAAAACACCTACCCTGGTATCAGTCACATATCATGCAAAAAAAAAAAAAAGAAAAAAGAAAAAAGAAAGGAAAGTGATTCAAGACCAGAATTGTACCCTTTGGCAGTCTTCAGGGACCAAATTCACAGAAAGTGGCTACATACCCTCCTCCTTGCTTTGGTCTGGATGAAGACAAGAGGCCTGTGTGATTTTTCAAAGAACTTCAAGAAAGGAAGTTGGAGGAGAGGCCGGACCAGTAGTGTAAACCCTACCCAAGGGTGAATTGTAGCAAAGAGGATAAGTAATGCAGCCAAAGGCAGGAAAAAATGCTCTCTGGGTGCACAAATGGGCACCACGGCAAGCAGAGCTGCTTCTGAACCCACAGCCCCGTGATGGAACACTGCATTCAACTCCAAGTCAAAGCATGGCTTACCGAGATTCGGCTGGGACACGGCCATGGGCCTCTGGGGCACTGGTGTGGAAGTGGTGGCAGGGTGGAGACTCATATGATTCAGGGGCTGATTCATCAACTTCCTAGGGTCTTGCCATGTGGTGATTTTTTCTATGTGACTAAAAGAAAGAAAACAATTATCTTTTTAATTTTCAGTATCATTATCCTTATCACCATCACCAATAATAGCACAACAGTCCATGACTTTGGCTCTTCTTCCCTTAGGACCTGCTTCAGAGCAGCTGACCCATTGTACTTGGTTTTATGCAAGGTCAGGTCACTTACCTAGCATCCAAACAAGGCTACACTGGGGATTTTGCAGTGACTCTCTGAACACAAGCCCATCACTAAGCTGTCCCAGAAGCCCCTCTGAAAGGTTTTCTGCCTTACTGGGGACAGACAAGCCCCAGCAGTCCTCATCACCGCCCAAGGAGCCTGCGTTCCCAGCTCCTCAGGGACATCACTGCCATCCAATTACTGGGACGCCACGGTGTGAGCTCCTATCCAGAAGCAGGGCCGCCAGCCCTCCCACACTTGCAAGGCTCATTTAATTGACACCTCCACCTGTCCTCAGCCAAAGACCAGGCCCTTGAAACCAACCTCATAACCATGACCTTACTGTGTCCTTACTAAGTAAGGCACTGTGAAGTCCATATGGGTGATACATAAAACCCTCGAGAGGCTTATGTTCTGCCGTGCATGGTCACAACTGTGTGGCTGAGCAAAGCAGCAGGAAGTACTAGTAAGTGCAGGAGGGCAGGAGCACCAGATTAAGGAGACACCTCGACACTGAGGCACAAAGGCCTCTGAGGGAGAAAACATTAGACTTTGAGTCACATACAACTACCACTGTTTGTCATTATGACTGTCTCAGAGAAAGTAGCACAACAAACTTCTGCCCAGTTTCTGATATGTCCTTGGAAGGATGGACGGGCCGGCTCTGCCTAACTGGCTCCCAACCACATCACAAGTTATTCTGCGTGCCTTATATAAACCCCGCACCACTCCACGGCTCCATCTTTTTTAGAGAGGTTATTACATTTTTCTTTTACAGATGAGCATATTCACAGCCTTTTTTAAGGAACTATATCAGAGATTTTCTATGTTTATCAAAGACAGAAAACTGATAGCAGAAACTGAATGCCAGCCCTTTGTTCCAGGCCTTACAATTGGCTGCACTCCCCAACCCAATTTGCAATGCCAACCCCTAGGCACTACTGACCCTGCTAGAAAAGGTCTTTTCTGTTGCTTGTTTCCACACGTATTTATTTATTTGTTTGTTTGTTTATTTATTTATTATTGATTTCAGAGAGGAAAGGAGAGGGAGAGAGAGATAGAAACATCAATGATGAGAGAGAATCATTGATTGGCTGCCTCCTGCTGGGGATCGAGCACACAATCTGGGAATGTGCCCTTGGCCAGAATCCAACCCAGGATCCTTCAGTCTGCAGGCCAACGCTCTATCCACTGAGACAAACCAGCTAGGGCTACATTTATTTTTATTTTTAAATACATTTTTTATTAATTTCCAAAAGGAAGGGAGAGAGAGAGAGAGATAGAAACATCAATGATGAGGGAGAATCATTGATCAGCTGCCTCCTGCATGCCCCCTACTGGGGATTGAGCTTGCAACCCAGGCATGTGCCCTTCTTGGTTCATGGGTCAACGCTCAACCACTGAGCAATCGGCTAGGCTGTTTCCTCACATTGAAATGCTGCCACTGGCCCTGCTAAAATTCCTCTTCAGATTTCCCCATCCTAGACTGGAAGCTATTGCCTTGGGGAACTCATCCATTGCCTTGATTGAAAACTTGGACGTATCCCAAGAATGCTTTTTTTTTTCTTAAATATATTTTATTGATTTTTCACAGAGAGGAAGGTAGAGAGATAGAGATTAGAAACATCGATGAGAGAGAAACATCAATCAGCCGCCTCCTACACGCCCGCTACTGGGGATGTGCCCTTAACCAAGGTACATCCCCTTGACTGGAATCGAACCTGGGACCCTTCAGTCCGAAGGCCGACGCTCTATCCACTGAGCCAAACCGGTCAGGGCCCAAGAATACTTGAAATGAGTGTGAGTGTTAAAGAGGGGTTGCGGGGGAACAGCCTCGGAAAAGGTGGAACTGCTGCATCTCACTACTGTAGGAGCCATCAGCCGTCTTCAAAGAAATCAATAATGCAGTGGGAGTAATAAAATCAAAGAACCAAAACTATCTTCTTAGCCCTGGCAGGTGGTTGGAATGTCATCCCCGCCTACACCAAAAGGTTGTGGGTTTGATTCTAAGTCAGGGCATATATGGGAGGCAACTGATTGATATTTCTCACACTGATGTTTCCCTCTCTCCCTCCTTTCCTCTCTCTCTCTAAAATCATTTAAAATATATATCTCCTTGGGTGAGGATTAAAAAAAAACTATCTTGTTAAGAAAAGAAACAAAAGAGGGGGAAGAGATTGAACTAAAGAGATCAGAATCCATTACCTAAGCATAAAAAAAATGAAAAAAGAACAATGGTTTTAGTTATGCCTTCATTTAACAATTGTAATTCTGTTTAAAGCTTTTCATAAAGTACTTTTGTCAACTTTTGGTTCTGTGGAAACTCATAGCCAGCCTGTGGGGAGGGGAGGGGAGGGAAGGGTTGTAACAGGCCTTCAGAGTGAGAAAGCAATTGCTGAAGACGTCAAAGTTAACTAACTTGCTTTGACAAAGTAATTAGAACTAAGAAACCCTTTGACTAACTGTTCTTTCAGCACCATACTATTGAAACTTGTTTCCCAAGGTAGGCAGGTCCTGCATAAATACTTTCCACTGTAGTACCAGAGGGGAGGAATTATTCTCTCTATCAGGAGCCTTTCTTAGACCCTCCGACACCATGAATAATGATGCAGTGCAAAAACCAGTATAAGCACAGCCCGGTAAGATGGAGTGATGTATATGGAATGGTAGCAGACATTAAGGACACTACTGTGGTCAGACACACTCAGCTACCAGTCAGTAGTAGGAATCATACAGGAGCTAGAGTGATACACTCCCAAATGCGGGTCCTCCATTCTGCCATTCTGAACAAGTGGGCTGTGAGTCAACAATACTGTAATAACTATGTATGGTGCCAGGTAGGTACTTGAAATATTGGGGGGTGGGGGTGGCACTTTGTAAAGTTTATGATTGTCTAACCACTATGTTGTATACCTGCAACTAATACAAAATAATATTCAATGTAAACTGTAACTGAAAAATAAAATACATTTTTTAAATAAAAACATTGAAAAAAAACAAGTGGGCTGTGGCTCCAGGATATGGGGAGAGCTGTAAGACCCACTCTAGTGGTGGATGAGCCCAGCTTGCCTACGAACTGCCCGTGAGCCTGGCCAGCCTCCACCCCCTGGGACAGAGTGCAGGGCTTTCTGGACAGACACTCTGGCCCTCATTCCGATAGGTCTGACCCCAAAAATGTACAATGCGGCCATGGCTTCAAATGCCAAAACTCCCCCAGGACTGTGGGAGCCTCCACAGCCCACTCTTCAAACTATACCCAGCCAATGCTTTTAAAGGAGTTTTGTTCCCAGCGGATTGTTAATTAAAAGTGTCACTCACAGTATTTTCCAAAGACTTGAGTAAAAGAGGGAGCCTTTCTTAAGTGAGCAATTCTCACTGCTCTGAAACAACTCTGAAAGCCACTCAAATTCTCAGCCACTACAGCCAGTGGACAGGACACCAGCTCTACCCTAAGGCTCGACTTATATGATGATGGCCAGAGTGGCCCAAGTCTGAATGCCAAATGCAAGGGCATTACTCACAAGTACTCATTAATACATTGCTTATTATTTAACCGGAAAACTAAATTCTACTATGGTTCAAATCATTTAGTGCCCCTCACCCCATTCCCAAACGTAGGATAAGCCATTCAGTCTTCCATGCTGCTGTCTCATCTCAGCTGCCTCTCTGAGTTCTGAGTCGTTTCCTTTCTCGTATTTGTCAGTGTAACCTTACTGCCTGCCAGGACCCACAGTTAGCCAGATTAATCCCCACTCCCCTACTACTCCCACCTCCTTCCTGATTTCACTCCCTTGCTGAATCTACTGCAAGAAAATATCCCTATGCCATCATTAAAAGTCTAATTTCTCTTCAAAATATCTATGTATGTATAAAAAAACATATTTAAAAAGATAGCAAACTTTATGCTGATATATGCAATGGCTCACTTTTGCTTTTTTTCTTATCTAAACTCTTCTGAACTTTCAAGTTTTTAACAGTGATTATCTATTGTTTTCATAACCAGTAAAAACAAAAATACTTATTAAGTTACAAAAAGACAAAAGGGAAATGATGCATATCTGTCATCATGTGGCCAAAGTAAGAAGGGAAATGGAATCAATTACCGGTTCCATGTTGTTTATATAGAAAAAAAGGGTACCAGATCCTACAAGAAAGAAAAACTGACACCCTCGACCCCTCCTCCAAAAAAAAAAAAAAGATTTTTTTTCCCTAGACTACAAAAAAAATGCCTGCAGGGTTTCACTGAGGCCCTGGGTGTGTGGTGAGAAAGGCGTCTATAGCAAAGATAATGGGATGGTATTTTCCTGTTCCTTTGAGAGTCCCTCTGACCACTACTTCCCAGGCTGTCTTTTTCTTTCAGTCACAGACAGAACAAAACAAATCCTGGTCTCCAACCACATCAGGAGCAAGTGCTTGAATCCCACCGAGGTCCAGAAGAGTTTCAGCCCTCAGGACCTTCAATTGTCCCGGGGTAAGAAAGGTGGGCACTTCTCTGGGAAGATATTTGCCTGGAAATTGTAGCTTATGGGAAATTGTGTTGTGTGAAATAATTTTTCTTTTTTGGATAAATATGTTCTTCAATAAAGACAGAAACTTATTTTATTAAGGAAATTCTGTTTGGAGTTAAAATGTCATTGAAATCAGCCCTACCCGGTTTGGCTCTGTGGATAGAGCGTGGGCCCAGGACTGAAGGGTCTCGGGTTCGATTCTTAACAAGGGCACGTGTGGGAGGCAACCAATTAATGCAGGGGTCCTCAAACTTTTTAAACAGGGGGCCAGTTCACTGTCCCTCAGACCGTTGGAGGGCCGGACTATAGTTTAAAAAAAAACCTATGAACAAATT